TCTTGAATGAATTCATAGGGCTGAATGAATGCGTGGCCGAATGAATGAATGACCGAATGCATGCATGACCGAATAAATGGAAAAGCAAATGAAAGAATGACCGAACGAATTAATGAGCTGGTTAAATGTATGGATGCGAGTGATTCTGAGAGAGTTTTGTTTAACGTAATTAATTCAATGCGAAACCAACATGTTCACCTTTGCAAGCTCAGTGGGTACCTATCACTGCTGTGTGATACTGCTCCCTGTGACGGAGCCCATACTGTAACAAATTGCGGAAAGTATGGACTTACATACAAGCACATATTGAATAAATGCATCAGCTCCATCAACAAATCTCAAATTTTAGATTTCGGTCAGAGGTCACTCTACACTTAAGTGGAAAATAGATTCTTAGGAGGAGCAGACCCAACTAACACTTGACAATTGTTTAATGTTGTGGGCGAAATAGATGAATGGGTGGGCGGATAACTGCATGGATGAGGGCGAATAAATGAACAAGTGAATGAGTCCATGGATTGGCCAAATAATGAATGATGGTGTCCAGCATAAATAAGAATTACTGCGCACGTCAAATTGGCATGCACATTCAAATTTTTTGAATGGTTGTGTGTGTGCAAATGCAAAGCACCATTTGCACATAAATTTACCCTTATTCCCCCTACATTTTTGACGAAACAGGCTTACGGCGAAGAAATACCGTCTGATTTACGGGAATATGAATGGGTATTGCAGAATAACACTTGCATCTGTTGATGTCAATATTGCATGTGCTTTGCTGCAGGTATTTGGGATCGCGTTAGGAAGTACGAAATCTGCAACGGCGGTAATTATGCAAAGATACTGAAGGTCGCCAACGCTTCCAGCTGGTTGTACGATGACGTCACGCAACCAAAAGTGATCTTGTTTCAGAAGCTGGTAGTAGAACTATTTTATTGGTAAATGTAGGGCCGCAGGGATGCATTTTGCAAAACACAGGGGTGAGAAAGGGAAGGGAGGTGGTGCAGAGGGAAGAGATGGCTGAGCATGCCTCCGAAATACACTCGGAGTAGTTTTTTACCCAGATTTGACACACCTTTTACAGCTGGGCGCAGGGGTGGTGTTTCTCAAAATTAGGTTTTGGGCAGCTGAACCACCCAAACTATGAAAAATGAAAAATAAAAGACAAAAATGATAAGTTAACGCAGGAAACTGCATTCCTGGTTAGGGGGCACGATGCCGCCTCCCCCTTAACTCAGGGGCGGATCTAGAGTGTGGGGGGGGGGGGGGGGCACCGGGCCATGGCTTCCCCTTGGGCCACGAAGAGGCTCAGTGGCTCCAGGGTAGCCCATAGCCAACCAACCATGTGCAGTTTTTTTAGAAAAAAAGAAGAAACGCAACAAAATTGGACATCTCTGGATTTCCAGGCGACCAAGAACAGTTTCAAGCGAAAGTGAGGGGCCGACGAGAAATGAAAAAAGTTCTTCAATGATTGAAAAAGCTGTGGATAGTAAACTATAAGCCTCATTACACTGTCTAAGCGCCTATGCTGTTTCTGGGGGGGGGGGGGGGGCTACATGCCCACTTGCAGGGTCCTTCCGATCGCTACGGAACCTTCCACGTTGCCCTTTTTCTCAGAGAGCCCTGTGCTGTTGCTGGGTTCTTCCTGCTAGCGTGCCAGGGCACTCTTGTCAGTCAAGGGTCCTTCCACGGATTTTTTCCATTCACCAGAAAGGCTCTGTGGACTGTGGCCAGGACCCTATATCTTAACCTGCCGGAGAACTCTCAGTTGCTCAGAGGCCCTTTACGAGGGTCCCGGTTAACATACCAACACGCTCGCGATATGCTCCCGGGCCCTCTACATTGGCCTAGGGCGCTTCCCATTCCATGTCGCTTGCTTAGGACCCTACGCTCTTGTCGGGGCCCATCTGTTAGCCTGCTTGGGCGTACTCGGTCTTTCAGGGATCATACACACTGGGTCTTGGGTACTTCTTGTCTGAATGGGGGGGGGGACCTACGCTCTTGTGGGGGTCTGTTTGATAACCTGCTCGAGCACACTCGATCGTTCGGGAGCCCTCTACATCGGGTTTTGGGCACGTCATATTTGAATGGGTGCCCTACGCACTCGTCGGGGACCCCCTCTGTTCACTTCCTCGACCACAATGGATTGTTCGGGAGCCCTGCACATTCGGTCTTGGTGTTTGAATTTACGGCCCTGTGCTCCTATCGGGGTCATCTGATATCTTTTTCGGGTACACTCCACCTTTCGGAACCCTCCACATTGCGTCCTGGGCACTTCCTATCTGAATGGAGGGCCCCACGCACTTGTCGGGAACCACTACACACTGTCCCACACACACTGACCCCACACATTTTGGGGCTTATTATGTTGTCTAGAGTCATTACGCTGCTGATTGCCTTGGTCCTATATGTCCATTTGCCGGGCCAGTCTGATCACTAAGGAGCTTTCCATGTTTCCCTTGATCTATTTGCATTTCTCGTGGGACCTAACGCTGCCGTTGGGACGCTATCTGCTTCCATGCCTGGGCACTCTTGGTCGTTGCAGATTGTCCTCCAAGGATTCTTCCCATCCGCCCAAAAGGCTCAGCACGCGTTTTCCGGGGCCCCATATGCCAATGTTCACTCGGTTGCTCAGGGGCCCTTCATATTAGTCTCGTTTTTTCGGCTTGCTTGGACGATCCTGTGCTGTTGATGAGGCGCATATAAGGTAGGGCAGCAAGACACCCGATGCTCAGGTGCCCTCTGTTTTGATCGGGGCTCTTTCCCTTTTATCTCATTTGCGGAGGACTGTTCACTCCCATCGAGGTTCTTTCTGTTGGCCTGCCCGTGCACTTTTGATCGCACAAGGGACTCACGGTCTCGCATAACTGCGTTTCCTCAGAGGGTACGGTACGGTGCTCTGGCCGGGGCCTTATATCTCAGCCCGCCGGAGCAGTTCGGTCGTTTAGGGGCCCACCACGTTCTTCTTGGTTTCCTTTTGCTTGCTCTGAGGACCCTATACTTATTGAAGGGGGCCACTTTGTTAGCCTCCTGCGGCACCCAGGATCGCTCAGGTTCCGTCCCTTTTGGTCGTGGTGGCCTTCGCCCTAGAGCAGCAGTCGGATATGTCCCGATGATTTTTTTACGCGCAATTGGCGAACGTAATTTTACGTGCCGCCGACAACGTGTCATTTCCAGTGGCTATTGAGCGTGTGACACTTAGTATACTAGTGCATCATATTTTTAACGTATTTTGAACGCCAAGATATTTTGTACTACTTTTTAACAAAGGAAAAATTGTGCATTAGTCATCTGCCATCAGCTGACTATGTCGCCCCAACCGGCCAGCCGCAAATAAGCTAGGAATCAAGTCCCTGCTCGGTTTTGATGGTTGTTAGCAATCAACTCGGGTTAACTTTGCCTGTTGCTCTGAAATACTTAGCCTCAAAATTACAGGATTTGACATAATCTGTTGAGCAGAATAAGCTCTATGAACATTCATTCGTAGTACGCCCAACTCTAGTGCTGCGCACAGCAAGATGGGTTTCCGTAATCGTCTCAAAATGTGCTAACCGGAATGCAATGACATTGTGTGACGGGGCCCCAAACTCTAGGAGCCTCAACTCTATGGAGCCCCACAATGCTGCTGCGTGCCCCCTCGTTGACGAAATCCCGGATCCGCCCTGCCCCAGCTGAATAGGAAGCTGCACCTTTAGGCTGGTTGTGTTTAAGTATGCCTTTACCTGAATTCGATTGGTTTAGTCTCAACCATTTTTCAGTGTTTCATGGTCAGCAAATGACACTTAGGGCAAATGAACTCACGAACAAAAATGTTTGAAGGTTATGCTGCGGTTGCATTTAATGCGCCTTTGTTCTTGTGGTTTATCGCATTAAGAGGTATGTTGCGACGGTTTGTGAAAGGTTGACTCCAAGTGACAATTTGGACGGTTCCAAATATCGTTGATGACAGAAAAGGCACTTTTTTATCCTTGCAATCTTGGCGGGTGTGTCGTGAGATAACGTGTGTAAACATTGCATTCCCAACACATTGCAGTCCTGATACCTCAGTGCCTTCGTTCAGCTCGGCCCGGGTTCGTCATGGACATCAGGAGCCCTGCTGTCTATGAATGATAGCTTGAATTCCATGGCACATGTCTTTCTATGAACCTTTCTTTCTATTTGCGTGTTCCCCATAAAACCAAGCAGAAAGCGTAAGTGCGATGCACCGAATTTTCACGCTTTTTCACATCCTCCCAGAGTGCGCAGCGAAGTTGGATCAGAAGGACATAAGAGGATTCTCCTGCACAATTTGCCAGTATTTAAGTTTTGAAACTGTGAGGTATTATTTACCTTTAATAGCCCGTTCGCTGCGTCTGAAATCAGAACAGCTAATACTAGGTGTTTAGGTGGAGACTGCCCGAATTCTTGAGCTTACACACCAAGAACAAAAGTGAAAAATGTCGTAGGTTAAATGGCAGTAATGAACAAGCGGTATGCACTTTGAAGAAATTTCAACTTTGGAAGCACGGAATACAAGGTGTCATAGCCTTCTACAATCCCTTTTCTCCCATCCACCTCTAATGGCCCGATTTCCACAAAACCGTAAATTGAGGCACACGTCCTGCGACGGACACATTATTCAGTCCGACTGGCGGGGAAGGTCAGCTGACAGCTAGACAAAGACGGTAGCCTTGCACGGCGCGGTCACGCCTTACCACCGCACAGCACCTAAATACCTCTGCAGTCTCGCCTGCTGAAAGGTCAGAGAAAACCACGCGATCAATCGCATGTTAGTGTTGTGTCGGCCTGTGTTGAGTGGCCGGCTCAGGGCACGAACAACGGCTTAGGTTCAGCAGGATCCTGCTTGGCGGGGTTCTGAACTAAGTGCAAACTGGGGAGATAACTGCAAGAAAAGCTTTCTTAAATACAGAAAAACCTGCAGCTAAGCTCCAGCGTCATCTGACAATGTTAGATCCATCCTATCAAACACTAACCGGGTGCATCTGCTTTCTCTGTCACAGATGGCTGCTGTTGCTGGCGATGATCTTCGCAGAGCTTCAGCAGAGCACTGTGATGGCGAGAAGGAAGGTATGCGACGACAATGGTGTATGCAGTTATTGTTATCACACGGGGAAACATAAGCAACGCATCTTTTCCTTATCTCAGCCCCGATATAAAAGGCGGCCTGCGCGGGAATTCCCTAGCGGCGGGTGTCACGTTTCGCTTCGTCCGGTAATCTTAATCATGGAACCGGCAGCACCAACTTGCCATCAGAGTTGAATCACCTCGGCAGCGCTGGTCGATACATCGCCAATCCCAGTCGCTCCGTCCCCGTTGTCGGTCTGGCCTTGCTTGAGTGTGGCAACGTATGCTCTGCCCGCCTGCAGCACCGGATCCGCCATAACGTGCAGCGGCGGCTGAAGCGGCAGCAGAGCAGTCAAGTGTACGCCTACTCGGCCGCGCAGGACTCGGGCCCCTGGGGCATCTGGGGCACGCAGTCGCCCTGCTCTCGCTCCTGTGGCGGCGGCGTGGCCTTCCAGGTCCGGCGCTGCCAGGACGAGAGGTGAGATCTTCCAGGTCCGATGCTGCCGGGGTAAGAGGTGAGACCTTCCAGGTCTGACACTGCCAGGACCTGCCAAGCCCGGCGTTGTCAGGACGAGAGGTGAGACCTGCCAGGTCCGGCGCTGTCAGGACGAGAGATGAGACCTTCCAGGTCTGGCGCTGCCGGGGCGAGAGGTGAGCATTCCAGGGCCGGCGCTGTCAGGACGAGAGGCAAGACCTTCCAGGGCCGGCGCTGGGCGAGACCTTTCAGGGCCGGTGCGCCAAGACGAGAGGTGAGGCCTTTCAGGTCCGACGCTGCCAGGACCTGAGGTGAGACCTTCAAGGTCCGGATTTGTCGATGCGAGGGGTTGATCTTTCAGGTAGGTTCGGCGCTGCCAGAGGGAGAAGTAAGACCTCATAGGTTCAGCTGACTCAGGACGAGTGGTGAGGTGTACAAATAGCCTTCAACTATTTGTTCCGTTGCAACGTTCCATGTAAAGTATCATAGTCTAGTCCGTGGTAATTTTGTTTCTAAACTGAGAGATGGCGTATGTCAGGTCAGGCCGGGTTCTGAGCCTTGAGCTTTATAGAAAGGGTACTCCATGTCAGGTGCTGTAAGGCTGTATGACAAGAATATTTCGAAGTCGCTTGAAATGTTTACGTTGATCTCCGCCACTGGTGGAAATTTGGTAAACTTCCTCAGTTCTGCTGCGTAATTTCAGATTCACCTCCGTTTACACTTTACGCTTCACCAAGCACGTTGGTTTGGATTTATCACGTGCTCCTCTTCGTCCCGAGTGTGCTTGATGACACAGCCGATTCCCCTGATTGGTGGTGCAATCGCGTTGTGTTTTCTTGGGAGAAGGACCATTGGAAACTGTTAATCTGACATCCGACCTGACGGTTCCAGGCCAGATGGCTCGTCGTCTTGCACTGGACCAAACAAGCAGTATATCTCCTGCAACATTGAGGTGAGAAACACATACTCTGCTGGGCCGAGCGTTCGCGTGCTGGGCTGTCTGATATCTTGGCATGTGATTTGTTCCTTGATATTAAGTTAACCGGTTACATCGTAGATGACAGTGGAAACAGATCTGATATGTCATCTAGACTACTGCACAAAGTATAACCTTAAGCTCACATGCATACTTCGACGTTGATTTTCCAATCACTTTAACCCAATTCGCAGCTCAATAAATGCCGGGGACGGTAGTTCGATTTGATGCATGTGATTTCATAAGGGGCGGATTACTGGTAAAAGGGCATCTTGCTCCTTATACCACCCTATCGCAGTCATCACTTTCTAAATGTCCGAGACTTTAGCCATGTGATGCTCCATAGTAGCATGTCTAGACTACAGAAGGTGTCATTTCACGGAGTGAGTAACATATGTGACTCATTATTGGCAATGATTTGCTTCGGCTGAAATTTGCCACGATGCATTTTCCCAGATTATTTGCTTTTGTTCAGCTTGCGTAGAATGCGCGGATGCATCTGTGATCCGCTGACTGTCGTCGATGTCGAAGCCATGTCGTTGATGTCGGAGCCGTGTCGTTGATGTCGGAGCCGTGTCGCTAATGTCGGAGCCGTGTCGCTAATGTCGGAGCCGTGTCGCTGATGTCGGAGCCGTGTCGTCCATCCTGGAGCCGTGTCGTTGATGGCGGAGCAGTGTCGCTGGCGTCGGAGCCGTGTCGCTGATGTCGGTAATGTGTACCTGATGTCGGTACTGTGCCGCTTATGTCAGTATTGCATCGCCGATGTTGGTGCTGAGCCGATGTTGTGACCTAATGTTGGTACTGTGTCGCTGACGTCGGTGTTTTATCGCGGATGTCGGTGCTGTGTACCTGATGTCTGTAATGTGTAGGTGTAATACACCTCATGTCGGTACTGTGTCGGTGATGTTTGGGCCTTTTCGTTGATGTCCATGCTGTGTCGCGGATGTCGGGGTACGACCGGGACCATGAGCGCGTGTTGGCGTTTCAGCCCTGTCCCGGAGGGTCCGGTGACTTGAGGGAGGAGCAGTGCACCGAGTTCGACAGGCTGCCATTTGAAGGACGCTACTACAAGTAAGACCGGATGTTGGTCGCTATGTTATGTTGGATGTGGCTGTAAATTTACTGTGGTATCACTTTCTGCACATCTTTAAAATGGGTTCTTCTGTCTTCCTCATCAATGCTCCCAAAAAGCAGGATAAGGTATAGGAAGTAGGAAGTGGGCATCACGTATGCTTGGTACAGCTGTAAGGTGCCCACATGCTACACAGCCATCACTCTCAGTCATATTGTGACCTCAGCATGCCCCATGACCCTGATTCATTTGCCTTCGCAACATTTGAGCTCTGATGCGATGTTATAAATAGTTATTTTTTCATAAGCAACCTAGTCGAAATCGCCCAGACGGGAATCTAAACCATCGTCATCATGACTTGAAAGTCTTTATGTTGAAGTAAGCACTTTCAATATGTCATGAGGTTCTGGATAGGCAATGTTGTACTGCTAAATGACGACGATATTGACAGTGCTCAATATTTCAAACTGTGCACATCCTTAAAGGCGACAAGGGTTCAAAAAGGCTCCGCGAAAATAAGCTCTTGGAAAACAAGGCATGTGAATCTTCAGAATGATGCCCGGAGCTGCTGCCCCTGTTGACACCGGCCCGGCCTGCGGCAGGTGGATACCGTACCTGAAGGCGCCGAGCCAGTGCGAGCTCAACTCCCTGTTGACACCGCCCCCCGGCCTGCGGCAGGTGGATACCGTACCTGAAGGCGCCGAGCCAGTGCGAGCTCAACTCCCTGTTGACACCGCCCCGGCCTGCGGCAGGTGGATACCGTACCTGAAGGCGCCGAACCAGTGCGAGCTCAACTGTCAGCCGCAGGGCGAGCGCTTCTACTACCGGCACAAGAGGAGGGTCATCGACGGCACCAGCTGCGGGCCCGAGGGCCTCGACGTCTGCGTCGACGGACAGTGCATGGTAACCGAGCTGGCGCCGACGCTGGGAGAGCCTGCCTGGCGCGGACGGCTGCCGTTCTGTGGTACGGCGAGCGACTGCAATCGGGGATAGTTGATCTTGGTCCAGGGTGTGATAGCTTATAGGTCATCGTGTATCTCTTATTGCACCTGTTTCCTTTCATACCACTCGCGCAGCTTTTGACACCCTAATTCACTTCAGCAGCCATTTTTTCTAATGTTTTGTACGGTCCGACGGCATGTCTTGTCAGGCGTACTCGTAACTCAACACCCAGATGTTAGTCCTCCTGCCCATCGGATTAAATGGCTCTGTTCTGGCTACCAATGGCTATGGCGGGAATGCGACACCGTGTCGAGGAATGCTACGACACGCGCGCCCGTGAGAGGTCGACGGTCGCGCCTCCTGACACCTTCACTGTCGATGGGGCCAACCAGTCCACCTATTCCGGGACCCACTCGCTTTGCCGTGTAATTACGAGTCCACATCCATACGCCAGATCACAAATAAGATAGTGACAGTGACATTGGGTTAGGCTGATGCTCACTCACCTTGCGCTCATGCCCGGGGCTCACATCATCCCTACTCTCACCCTCATGTCCGATCTCACGGACCCCACTGACGCCATCTCACCGTTCTCACGATCACGCCTTGTCGCCAGCAAGTGGGCTGCGACCGCATGCTGGGCTCCACCGTGAAGGAGGACAGGTGCCGCGTGTGCGGCGGCGACGGCTCCGACTGCTACACCGCCCACGGTGTCTTCGACGCCGAGAACCTGCAGTCGGGTGAGCTGTGATCTGCCCTCTAGCTGGGATCTGCCCTCTAGCTGTGATTTGCCCTCTAGCTGTGATTTGCCCTCTAGCTGTGATCTGCCCTCTAGCTTTTACCTGCCCTCTAGCTGTGATCAGTCCTCTAGCGGTGATCCGCCTTCTAGCGGTGATCCGCCTTCTAGCGGGCTGTAATACTGGTCGACAAATTGAGCTGGAGGCAGGGTTTTCGTGGTATACTTTTGTGACAGCTGCTATCAATTCCAGTTCAGAACGTTGATCATCTGCGGCTACAAACGCGACCTTCATCGAGAAACGAACTTTTGGCTGCCAATGTTCCACCGTAATCTACCTTCCAAGTCTCTTGCTTGGTGTGCAGCGGCGCGTTGGCAATGCTTCAAACGCGTCCTTTCCTCGGGCCACGGGAATGTCAAGTGGACTAGGGTGTGCGTCGGGGGTGGGGGGGGGGGGGGGAGATTCCCATCGCCATTTTAGACCGCCGGTGGTCTAGCGACTCACGTTTCTGTGACCTCCCCTAGGCTACAACGACATCCTGCTCATTCCAAAGGGGGCCACGAACATCATCATCGAGGAGATCAAGGCAACGAACAACTATCTAGGTATGCGAAGCCCGTTATGCTCCATATGCCCTCCATGTGTTAACCACGGCCATTATCTGTTCACTTTTAGTATGCTTCTGGGGCTGGTCGTGTTCATAACATTGCTGCTTGGAATCTTCTCAGGACTGTCGATGATGGTGTAGGTCTGCCCATACGTTGGTGAACAATGTTTGATGTTGAAAATAATCTCATTCAAACTCGAAACTGTCGCACTTTGGCCCGGTACACTAACAAAACGCAAGACCAATGCCCGGGGTTCGTGGCTACCTTTTACCTCTTTACGTGCAATCACATGGCGCGTTTCCCCAGCTATCCGGAATTCGACTGGTCATTACTACCTGAACGGCAACTGGCGGATCGACTACCCCACCACCATGGAGTTCGCGGGCGGCAAGGTCCACTACGAGCGGAGGCCACTGGGCTTCTTCTCCCCAGAGACCGTGCGCGCCCTCGGCCCCACCAGCGAAGCCCTCTACGTGGTGGTGAGTCGTGCCTTGTACCAGCGAGACCTGCCGTGGCTAACAGCAAGGCCTTCTGTGGCTTTCTGAGACCCTTGAGGATCTCAGAATCACCCTGGCGTGGTGGTGAAATCTGAAGTGTACCTCGAATGCCTTCTACGACACCGGTGGACGAGCACTGCTTGACACAATAACTGACACGCGGCTCTCCCCGTGGTGTTCGTGATGTATTGTGCCAACGAAGTCCTCCACGTGGTGGTGGGTCATGATAACCGTGGCTATCTACGTGTTGTTTAGTAACGTACCGCCACCGAGACTCCCCGCAATGCGTGAATTGTGCGCTCATTGTAGCGCCGTAACCCCTCTATGTGTCTGAGCATTGCACCAATAGTATCTCTAGTGCGCTGGAAGCTGTGTATTGTGTCACAGTGACTCTGTACGTTGCTGAAATGTACGCCACCACTGGGGCCATTATTGTGACAGCAGATGCCCCAGTTTGCCGCCACAGACATGGTTAATGCTGTCACATGTCACAATTGCTGCCTAGATATGGAAAAGCCACCCACCCGCAGTGGTCCAATGCTTCCAGGCAGACCAGGCTCAGGATAGGTTGACGGCACTGTATCATCCCCTACCTCTCTGTAACGATTCAGCATAGGCTATTTGGCTATCACGTTGCACTGCCATTCTTGGTACTGGTAAATGTACGTGCTAAGTCAACATTATTCAAGTTGTTTTACTTCATTGTCCACACTGCACATGCCCGATAAGATTATGGGAGGCATTTGTCCCTAGCTCGAACGTGTTCATGCCAAACACCCTCATAACTCTTCCCTGCACACCGACGTTCATCCTGATCACCTGTCATTTGTCGGCCGGCACTTTCTGCACGTGACGTCGCACCCTCGGCCGCCAGCTGCTGTACCAGGAGCGTAACGCCGGCATCCGGTACGAGTACAGCGTGCCGCGGACGGTGGCGGACGCCGGCAGCTCCGAGTACTCGTGGGTGACGTCCGCCTGGTCGCCCTGCTCCGAACAGTGCGGCGGAGGTGAGCCCGCGCCCGCCTGTTCGTGTTCGTCTACCCATGTGGTGCGCTTCTATGGACTCTGCATACGTCGTGGCTGTCCTTAGCCTAGCGACAGCCGCTCTAATAAAGGGACGCATAGTAAAGCATACGATTTTGCTAGAATTCATGTATCGCCGCTAGTACTTAATCAATCGATAAGGGCACGCAAAATAAAATCAAGAGAGAATCAAGGCAGTCCCTGCGCTCAGGCTCCTCGGCTGCGATACTTCCACCGGGTCAGTCTATACCTGACATCCCCTTTGGACGGAGCCAGCGCCTAGAGTCGGCGGAAACGCACTGAAACAGCATCACAAGTGCGCGCCAGTGGCAGAATAGAAAGCTCACGTGCCAGCTGACACACAGTATCACATCGACCAAAACCACAGCTTACGCGTGTTGTGTTTCCTTTCTTCAGCAAATTATATTTGTTCATTTTGAGGTGTTTCATTGTCGGCTGTACCATTGAGGTGCTATTGACAATAGCACGTGTCTGGCCCTAAACAGGTCAAAGAATAAGGCGCA